TTCCTTACTGTATATTAGAGTTAGGAAAGCCATAGGAGAAAAGAATAAAAGCAACAAATAGTAAGATTGCTAAATATAGTCTTCTGAATTATTAGTATACCATATTTTTTTGAGCAAACGTATGTTTAAAGAGTTAAGGCATCCCAAAAACTTTGACAATAGACAGGTCTGCATGCTTCATGTTCTCAGGTTGGTATCAAGTGTGTTCTAATTTTACATCAAAATTGATTATTACTATATTATGCTTTCTTCTTCTACTAATCTGTCTGTATATCTTCTTCTATTGTTTGGGCTTATTTAGGTTCATGCTTTCAATGGCCGTCCTGTGAAGAATTTGATGAGCTTGGCCAGCATGGTAGAGAGCAGCATGATGAATATTCGGAATTCAATTTAGAATACCAGCAGCAGGTGGGGCGTTCTTATTTTGATGCATAAGCGTGTACTAATTCTTGCCGATTGTATGTTGTAACTTATTTTTGTTTTTGTTTTTGACAGATCGTTATCCTTCAAACAAAGACTGCAAACTTTGTGCTTAAAAGTACGATTTATGTTATGTTTGTGACTAATTTTATGTGATTTAGAAGTCCGGTTTCATAAAGAATCAAATTTCATCATGGATTTGAAGTTTTATTGGGATACGGACTTTGTGATGGATGAAAAAATGTTTTGAAAACATTAGGATGGAGCCGGGACGCCGGGATGTGGCGTTGGAATGACAAAGAACGAACAGACGCCGGCCTCGGGCTCCAAGGTGCCACTTGGACCCCAAAAAAAGTCCTTGTTGATTTATGACTCTATTTTTTGTGTTCTACTTCATCCATAACTTTAAGATTTGGCACCTATATATATTCCACGAGATGTAGGCTCTTTATGGACTCAAGATAACAATTAGATTATCGTTGTATACATTATAAATTTGAGAGAATTGTTTAGATTTAGATTGAGATAATCAAATCTTGTAAAAACAATTTTAGTTTCTTGGTATAATAAATTCTCCTATTCTTTCACAAAAAAGTTGTTTTCTTTGTGATCAATTATTTTCATATTACTCATATTATTCTCATCTTTAATTATTCGACAAAATTTCTAACAAGTGGTATCAGAATTGAAGTTTTTTTGGCGAGTTCTTGGAATGTCCAAATTGGTCATTAAAGCACGATTTGAACAAAGTTGATTGTTTCATTGATTTTTTGAGATTCCCTTTTTGGATTGCAACATTAGATTCTCTTTGTAGCAGATCAAGCTGCAAGCAGCTATTGTTCTACTAGATCTTGATGATGCTTTATTAGAGATAAATAGAATGTTCGCAAAAATTACTACGAATGAGAAATAACACAAGGATCATAAAGCTCTATCACATATACATCTTTATCTTTTAAATCAAATTCTTCAAGATGTGGTAAATGAAAAAAGTGTCGTTGGGTTGTAGTTAAAATTGGAACAGCTTTGTATGGCAAAGAGCTTGACAAGTAAGTTACAATTGAAGTAGCACTTGTATTCTCATTGCTTGACGGAAGATAGATCTTTAGAAGATCATCTATCGATATTCAAGGAAATCATCGCTTAATTTGGAGACCATGGAGGTCAAATATGACGAAGAGGATTTATGACTGATATTGTTATGTTCATTGTTGTCTTCATATGTGACTTTTAGAAATACAATTCTCTATAGTTGGGATACCTTTACTATTGATGAGGTATATGATGCACTTTATTCAAAGGAGAAGATGAAGTATTTGGTCATCGAATTTGAGGCCCAATCTGAGGATCTTTTTATTCGTGAGAGGAAGACCCATATCTTGCAAAGGAAGACGATGATGGAATTCTTTTGACAATTACTAAAGGTGATTCCAAACTTGATGATGATTGAATTCTTGATTCGGCTTACACTTTTCATATGTGTTCAAATCAGGATTGGTTTTTTTTATATGAAACAGTTACAAGGGGTTCCGTGATGATGAAAAATATTAAGCCTTGTAAAATAAT